ATCCAGTGCGCCACCAGGCCGGCCCCTAATTTATATTTCTCTTATCAAATCTGACCTTCTGATTTACTTTCATGAATACTGCTTGCCTCCCAAGTCATTATTGCTTGTCATCAATGTTAACATCTTTGCATTCCTGCTTACATGGCAGTAGCTCTGCTACAATCTGGCGATCTGGCACCTGCAACCCCTAGAAGTTAAGGAGTCACTGTTCTCCACAGAACAAGACCGAGCTCTTGTCTGTTCCCTGCAGTCACCATCAGCCTCCTGGTCTCCACCTGTAACAAACGCCGTGGCTTCCTTCCTTCTATGCAGTCCCCCTCCAACTGTCCCTCCAGCTCCTGGCCTTTCTCATCAGGGCTTCTGCAGACACACTTTCCTCCCTCTGGGTTTTTTCCACGACCCACTATCTGCCTCACAATTGGTTGCTTCCCTGGGAACCTCCCTGGTTGTTTCTTTGCTGGTCTCTGGTGCTATATACTTCAAACTCCTTCTGCTCTTGACCTTCTGACCCTTGCCCTGGCCATCCCCTTGCTCACACACTCCTTTCCCTGAGTACCAGCAACTGTCAATGCCACCTATGCCTCTGCCTCTCCCTGCCACAGGAGTCTGGGGCCCTGTCTCTTCCCTGGGACTCAACCTGGTGAAAGGACAGCTTCTGATCTGCCTGCTGCCCCTCCTCTTAATGTGGGGGCTTACACACCAGTCTGGTTTCCATGAGAGTGGACACAGGACCTTATGTGGCTCAACAAGAGATTTCAGTTCTTGTGCTTAATTTGTTGCTGTGACGTACTGGGTGTTAATGTTACCCCCATTTGTCTGACTTAGGAAACTGAGGCACAAAGAGGGTGAATAACTTGCCCAAGGCCCCGCAGCTAGGGAGTGGCAGAGCTGTGAAGTCTAACCCAGGCTGGCTGGCTCTGGAGTACACTGTGAAGGTCGCCTTCCTCCCTTCCTCTGTCCAAGGTCACAGAAACACAGATTTTCTGCATAGCATGGGGGTGGGGGAAGGAAAGAGACGGGGTGGGATGTCTCTGGGCTAAAGAGCCTGGGGAGTCCAGGGCCACCCCTCACAGGCATGAGAGGGTCCAGCAGTGCCAGCAGGAAGGAGAGGCTTCAGTGGGGTGCCCCCCAGCTGTGGGCTGGGCTCCTGGGGGCAAGTTGGAGGAGAACACAGGCCAGGGAGCATCAGAGGTAAGATCACCAAGACGGAGTGTTCAAAGCTACCCTCTGAGAGTCACAATGATCAGTCAGTGGCACAGTTTCTGGCTGCAAGAATCTAAACTCCTCAAAATCTGTAGGCTTGCTGCTCTCCACTTGCCTCTAATCTAGATAGTTTTTTAATATATCAGGATGCATTGCAAGAGGTCTTAGGTTTATCATAATTACTATTTTCTACTGGCAAGACCCCCAAGCAGCTGATGTCTCTGAGCCTAGTAAGGCTCAGAGATGCCCACAGATCCAGCAGGCAGGGTCCCCATCCCCTGAGCTCTCACCCCCAGCTCTCCTGTGCTGGGCCAGCCACTGCTCCTTTAGAAAGGAAAGCATCTGGCACTTGTCAGGGAGCTCAGGTATCTTGAAAAGCTCCAAAGGTGAAACAGAAACCTCTCCCAGTGCTATTTTCCTATTTGATCTTTTGTCTCATGTGTTCCCTTTGGGGATGAACAAGAAATACTTCTCTGAATAATTCATAGGCCCCAAGGTAGAAACACTCTGCATCTTTTTTAAAAAAAGGCTGGGGACATGGTGTTGACTATACCTCTTCTGCAGTGCTCTAGCATAAAGCACAGAGACCAGAAAAGCTCTTTACAAATACCTCTTACAATAGAGAGATGAAAATTAAAAGCCATGTAATATTTTTAATCAAACAGACTAATGTTTGGATAATATGTAAAATTACTTATAAAGCTGTATTGCGGTACAAAATGCTCATAAAGGAAAGCTGAAAATTAAATAGCTGTAATTATTATAAGATCTGATTTATTTTTAAAACTGAAAATGACTGTCTTCAGTCTTCTATTTAATGAGCACCTACTAGGTGCCAGGAACTCCAATAGGCTTGCTACATAATCATCTCATTTACTTCTCACAACATCCCACCAGGATCACAGCCTAATTCACAGAAACGCCAAGATTCCTAGAGGTTAAGTGATGAGCCCGGTGTTCCCCAGAAATAAGATTCAGGGCTGAGCGCGAGTCCAGATCTAACTCAAAAGTTCACATTCTTCCCATGGTGCCTAATTCTTGGTGCATAAACATTCTTCTGCTGCAAACCAGTAGTTACCACTCAGCTGCTTCTACATTTTGCAACATTGCTGTAAGAAATGGCAAGACAATGAAGTCTTTGGGATCCTTTGGAGAACATTTTTCTTATTAGTTACAAAACCACATCCTCTTAGTACTGGACAGACATTCACAGCCTATCTAGTCGAATGCCTTCGTTTTGCAGAAAGAACACTGAGGTGCACAGTTTACGGGCCTTTCCTGAGGTTAAAGAGCAAGTAAGTGATGTTGTTGGGACCAGAACGCTGTTCCTGAACTCCTTGTCCAGTGCTTGCTTTTCCAGATCACATATCACTGTCTGATTGTGGGTGCTCAGATCCAAGGATTGCTGACATGAAGAGCACCTTGGCTATTAGGGTTTTTTAAGGATTTTTTTTTAATGAACCTTTATTAGAAGATCGTTAAATCCGAGATATCCTACTGCTAAGAATGAAACAAAAATTCAGAACCTAAGTCTGGCATGCAGGCCCAGAGAAGGCAGTAAGGGTTTTTACTGGCTTCTGAGACCTTGAGTTTTGAGACCTGAACTTTTGAGTTTCAATTCAGACTCCTACAGGAAGATGACAGCAGACCAAGCCTTTGTGTGGCAGCTGCACTCAACATATGTTCTTAACAGACAGAACCCTCCAGAGTGAACGGTCTGCTCCCCACCTAACTAAAACTGAGATATTCTGACGGCCACTCCAGAATCTCTCAAAAACGGTCCATGGTTAGGGAATGGGGGTGGGGGAGCAGGCAACCCTGGCTTCTGGCATGGGCATCCAGAAGAGGGACAGGAGCACTTCTGGAGCACCACCACACCCACATGCAGTGTGGAAACTGGAGTGACTTACCTGTGTCCCTGGCTGAGCGTCCTACCTCTTGGTGCAATATGGCCAGACCCTCCCTCCCTTCCTGTGATAAGATGCCTCCCACTAGCCAGTAGCCCTGGAGACAAGCTGGAGTGTCAGGCTCCCTGAATGTAAGAGAGCCTTCCAGTTTATAAAGTGCTCTGACCTTTGTACAGAAGTCTCCCCAGGGTGTGGATACTCCTCAAGGAGGCTGCTACAAGCAGTGCAGAGACCAAGATGACAATGAGAGTACCCAGGGCCACAAGAATGCCTTTATTGAACCCAGAGCCATAGGGTAGCTTGGACTGCTGGCCAGGAGATCAGTGACCCAAACTGTCCCCTAGCACCTAACAAGACCACCAGGTATGGCTGCTGAGGCTGTGCACTGTCAACTCCCAGGGCCACCATTTGCATAAACTACAACAGGAATGGAGCCCGTTGGCTTTATGCAATGTGACAGCCTGGCAAGACAACTGCAGGTGGCCTTTGGAACCAGAAAAGGGTTCGAGCATCATGAGCTACCTGCTGCTTCCAAGGGGAATTCCCATCCAAGAGTGGGGTCCCAGCCTGGCTCTGAGACTCACCAGCCGCTGCATGCTCTTCACGTGAGTGGGGCTGATGGATAAGGCCTCCTCATACCACCGCCGGCCTTCATCCATGTTTCCTCGGAGCTCGGCCACCTGGCCCCGCATGTACAGGACATTGTGGGACATCGGGAAGAGGTTGGCAGCTTCTTGGGTACAGGCTGTGGCTTCTGCAGGTTTCCCAATGCCGATGTAGACTTCAGCTGTGGGGAGGGGAGCAGAGAGCACATGCTTTCCTGGTTCACTGCCCTCCAGAGGCCCCGTGAGCAGCTCTTACTCTGGTGGGGGACAAGTGCATCCCTCAGCAGGGCCAGGAGCCAGCCAATCGCCCACCCCTCATGGAAATGGCTGCAGGCTGACAGTCCCTCATGCCCACTCCTCCACGGGGACTAGAGTCTCTTGTGTTGTGTGCCTTGCAGGGCAGACACAGGTCACCACCAAGCAGAGGGGAGTGAGGACTGCTTTGGCCCCAACCCCTGAGGACACCCACCCTCAGGGCCCACCTAGGGAACCTTGGCATCTGGACAGAGGCTGGCCTGGCCTGCCCTCGGCTCTGACCACCAAAGAGAAAGGACCAGAGTGAGCACAGGTACAAGCAAACCAGAGGTTTGCCCCTCAAAGGGCAATGGCTCTGCCCTCCAGACTGTTTTCCTGATGCCAAAAAGCGTGACAAGGGCAGCTGGCTGCACTTCCATGTTTATCAGCATCAAACAAAATGGCTGCTCCATCAGACCCTGCATGCGACCAGGGAAAGTTACCACACCCTGGGGACTCAACAGTATAATGTCAACAAAGCCCTATGAAAAGCCAAGCTATCACTTTCAAAACAAGCAGGAAAATGCCTATCTCAGGCCTCAACTCTCTGGCCTTTATGTGAATCCGTCTGCAGCCTTGGTCTCCTGTAAAGACCCCATCATGATTTCCAAGTGCCATCTCCGTGTCTCAGGTATGCTGAGTCGAGTGTCCAGGTAGAATGCCTCACCTTGCCCCTCAGGCCTCCTCTCCCGAGGGCCTGTCTGACCACAGCACCACCATCTTTCTAGTCAGCTGGGTCTGAGGCTTCGAGGACATCCGAGTCCCCTCTCCACTGCTCTGGGCTCACCGGCCCTTTCCCACCTGCAAGTCAGCCCATTCCTCATCCGCTCCTGCCTTGACCACTGGCCTCACTCCTGGCAGTAAAAGATGTTTGTGCCCATATCTCCAGGTTATGTATATGTATGTAAAAAGTAATATATTATGTATAATATAATGGACAATAGCACACAAAAATAGAAGTGTGCTAAGAACACGATAAAAAAAGAAATAGGAAAGTTCTTCTGTTTTCCTCATGTACCTCACAGAGTTGTCTCCTGAGTCCACTTGGGAAACTGCCTCCACTACAGTAAAACCTCCTCCCTCCCCTGTCCTCCTGACTGGGCCACCAGCCGGTCCTCCACAGCTGCTGCCAGATGACCCTCCTCAGGCAAAGCTGTTCAAAACCTCTCCTTCTTTCAGGCCTCTGCTGTGGCTCCCCGCGCAGCAGGCAGCCCCTTCAGCTGGCCTTTCTCCTGTGCCTCCCAGTCAGGCCTCCCTGACCATGCTGCTGGAACCCCCCAGGGAGGCCGCCCTGACTGTCATCATGCTGGAACCTCCCAGGAGGCATCCCTGAACATCCTGCTAGAACTCTCCGGTCAGGCCTCCCTGACCGTCCTGCTGGAACCCCCCAGGGAAGACTCCCTGACCGTCCTGCTGGAACCCTCCAGCAAGGCCTCTTTGACCATCCTGCTGGAACTGCTGCTGTCCATCCCACTCAGCGCTGCCCAAGTCCTTTCCTGCTTGATTTTTCTCCCTGGTCCTTCTCACCAATGGTCTCATTTTCTGTCTGCTCCTACTAGAATATAAGCAGTAAGCAACAGGAGGACAGGGATGGTGTCCACTGCTGGGTCCCTAGTGACGAGAACCATGTCTGTCACAGTCAGAGCTCAGTACACAGCTGTTGAATGAATGGCTGACACCAGCAACCATAATAGCCAACATTCGTTAAACACATACTGTGTGCCGGGAAGCCTTCTCACTTCTCATATCATCTGCATGGTGATCCGATGGGTACTATTATTTTACCCCACTGTATAGTTGAGGAAATTGAGGCACAGAGAAGCTGAGCAACTCCCTCAAGGTCCCAGGGCAAGTTAGAGACAGAGCCAGGACCAGACCCAGGCAGGCTATGCTATTGGCCTCCAGAGAAAAGTGTCTCCTCTGTCTCCAAATAACACCCATATCCCTACTCTGCCTGGCACTTGGGGCCCTCGGTGCCTGGGTCCACCACCCTTACTAACCTGTAGCCTTTCTACTGCTTCCCTGCACCACTGGGTGCTGGCCATTGTAAACGCTGTTCCATACACACAGTGGGGGTTCCTGTCTCCATCCTTTACTTTATTCTGTTGCCTCTGCCCATAATGCTGTCACCCCCTGCCTCCCTCAAGATCCAATTCCATCGCCACCATCCCTGGAAGCCACCTCTGACCCTAACCCTCCCTGGGCTGGTAGGGAGCCCCACTCCTGCAACCCTCTGACCCTATTTGTATTTCTGTGACGGGTCTCCGCTGTGCTCCTGACAGCATACTCTCCGAGGGCAAGCTCTGCCACAGATCCAGCTTCCTAAATCCCCACCTCCAGCTCCAAACCCAAAGATTCTAAAATGGCAGGTGCTTGTCTCAGGGTTGTGGTCAGTGGCGATGCTGCTGACCTTTTGGCCTCAGTCAGCCTGGCTGTTTCCTCTCCCCAGGTTCATATTCACACCAATAGCTGCCTCCCTGGGCCAAGAAAAAGCCTTGGAAAAAGTGGGCCTCACCCTGGCATGGACCCGCCCTGCACCTTCTGCCTGTCCTTCCGTCTGCTGGTCCTCTCCTCCACCGGAGCACAGGGAGATGACAACCTGGCCCAGGGACTTGTGGAGGAGAGTCCCGAGAAACTCCTGCAGACACAGAAATGCAGGCAACTCACATACAATGTACTGAGCCCTGAAGGTGACAAGGCCAGCAGCCGCACCTGCCTCACAGGAGACGCAACTCAGCAGGCACCTCCTGAGTGCCCACTACACAGGGGACTCTCAGGAACAAAGAAGACATTTTCCTGTCCTTCAGTCTGGACGAGGCAAAAACCTGTCCCTTCTGGGAGATAAACACCCTCGTAATGACACCGTCAGGGCTGTCTGATGTCTTTCAGTAACACAATTCTCTCGAAGCTCCTGCCAGAGAGTCGAATGTGTGCCCTCTGCGGTTTTGGGTTTCCCGAGCATGGTGGTGACTCAGGAGAGCTGTACAGAACGTCCCTCTCACTGTACACTTGGCTCTACCTTGCTTCCATTCTGGGGTAAGCTTATGTGCGTCTGCAAGGTCCCCTGGCCTAGAGCTGTCTGTGGGTTGGTAAGGCACACCAGCCTCTCCCATCTAGGTCACTATGAAAAAAAAGGCCAGCTTGAAAGAGCGGGGACTGAATGCTTCCAGAAATTTTAGAACAAGAATCACAGGGGTAAAAAGCCTTAAATAGCAACGTGACAGTGTACATGCAAGTCCTGTTCCATAAGGGCTCTCCGTGAGACCAAGTATGACAGGATATGTCTTATTTACCACTGTGTCTTAAGCCTCAGGTCTTAGGCTATCTCTCCCTTCCCATGACGAGGAAATGAAGAAAGATGGAACCAATTCAGAAACATGAAGGCGGGAGAGAGAGTCCAGGCCACAGAGATCTTCCTTTCAGTGCCATGAAAGTTGGTGGAGGAAACCGGAGGTACTGCTAAGGCCTGTGCTCCTGGAGCAGATGTGGCAGACAAATGTCTGGCCTAAGGTTGCTCCTAAATCCCTCCATTTTAAGCTCAAATGGAAGGATATACAGCACAATGTCCTGTAGGGATTTTCAAACCATTTTCTCCAATGAAAACTCTTTTTTTCCAAAGAGATCTTACCCCAGTGTACAGAAAGATTCTTAAGAGCGGGCAGCTTGGCCTTCCTCTTGGTTTGTCCCCTTCTCCCTGCCTCCGAGGCACCACTGGGGAACCCTGGGGCTCTGGGGTTTCCAGTTTGTAAATCACAGTGCCATGAGAATTTGGAGGGATTGGTTCTTGCCCCTGGGCCTTGTGTGTGACCTTGGGCAAGTCAGTCACCGTCTCTGGGCCTGTTCACCTGTCACATGGGGGACTGATCCTGGCCCACGTCTCTCCTGGGGCAGTGGTAACGACGAGCCCAGAGTGAGTCGAGAACAGTGAGGCAGCGTTCAGTGCGACCACCCTCCCAGAGACTGCAGAGTGAGGAAACGAAGGTGCAAAGAGGTGACCCGGCTCGTCCAAGCCCTGAAGCTCTACTTCATTGAGTCAGTGTATTTGGGGGATCCAGGTCCAGCCTTTCCGTTTTACCATGACTCCTTTAAGACAATGACTTAGAACAGTCACTGCCTAAGAGGAAATTACATTTTAATGGGACACAATGTCTCAGGTTCCAGAATTGAGCTTCAGTGGTAGGATTTCTGACACCAATCAAGTAGTTTGGGATGGGGTTGGGAGAGGAAGAGGAAAGGATTACTAAGGTTTCCCAACATCCCTAAATTCTCCCAGAATGCAGCCTTCTCTGACTAGGCACACAGCTGGTCCCCTAAAATACAAAGGGGCCATGCAGTATTTACTACAAGCTTGCGTTGCTTGGGAAGCCTTCCTTCCTAGGGGTCCACAGCTCAAACAAGGACCAACATCTCCCCAGAAGAGGGTTTCACAAATGTCCACCCCTGACCCCATGGGGGTCAGCAGCTCCCTCCTTTGTGTTCTCACAGTACCTGTACGACCCCTATCATCACCCTGATCCCATGGTCTGTGCTGGGGAACCCTCTCACCGCTGCTTCTTGTTTCCATCCGTGGTCCATCTGCTACGCCTGCACCTGAGCCCTCCCCAGCCCTCCTGCTGGTTCCATCTGACTGATGATTTGGGGAGAAGAAGCCTGCTCACCTTGGCACTCAGAGCTCTCTGTGCAGTGTGCCTTGTCCCTTGGATGCCTGCATTCTCTGCCTGCTCTCATGCAGGCATGTCACTGCGCTCTGCCCCTGCAATGGGGAGGACAGCAATTTGGGATGGGTGAATCCACTCAGCTGTAATGCCCTAGGGAGCCCCAGCTGAGACCAGAGTCCAGCTGCATTCTTCCACTCAGCCTCCCCAGTAACAATGCTGGGATTTTGATC